AACTGAGGATGTTGTAATTGAATCTGGAATAATAAAAATATTATTCGTTAAAATCCAGTTAACTAAATTCTGAATAAATGACATCTAGAAAATTTTGTTAAAAATCACGTAATTCACAAAAGAACTTAAATGTTTAAACAACGTACGACTTAAATTCTCTATGATTTTTTTTAATTAATATACAACAAACAACTAACAAAATTTCTGTGAAACTTTATTGACATAAATATGTTTTTACTTCATAATACTTTTTCAATGCATTTTAAAATATTCAATAACAACCTACATGAAACTAATTATCAGTTCTTCTTCTGTACAAAAACTCGAAAATTTTCATGCAACTTTTTCATTGATTTTCAATATTTTTTGTTCTTTGTTATACATACCGAACGAATGAAGAGCTACTTGCAGTTCCTCCCTTACTTGGTTATCAGTGAAATGTTGTACCTCAAATGCTGCAACATCCGCACCACAGAACGAAAACACACTCATGTATACAACTTCCACACCACACATCTATATGCAATTTCCACACATAAGTATACAACTTCCACACGACACATGCATGCAACATAAACACTACAGTAATTAAATACACATGTGTACGCAACATCCACACCCAGTGTGGCGAATCTTGACAACTTTGTCTAGGGGCCACGATTTTGAAAAATATTTGACGACCGGGCTGGTGGATTTTCAATAAAGTAAATTTTCAACAAAACTTTATGACCGAGAAGAGGAAATTTTTTAGAAAAAGTCGATGATTGGGAGGAGAACTTCAAACAAAAACTTGATGACCGGAGTGGAGAGTGAGATTTTCACAAATTTGTTTCAAACATTTTTGTGCTCACGAGAGGCAACATTTTGACGGAGGGGCCAACTTTTCTGCTGATGAACTTATAATGTCAATTTTCCCTTCAAAAGCCCTACTTTTTCCGTTAAAACAACGACTTCCAGTAACTTTTAACACAAATAACGCTCACAACGGAGAGCCAGTGCCTCCCGCCCACAGATCCGTCACTGCCCACACCACATGACATGTACAATTTTACACTTACACACACGAAACTTTTGAACAATCTTTGTGATCTGGAAACTGGTCAGTGCTTCATAGCAACAACTTGAGACATGACATTCCAGCCGTCCCATCCAAGCAAACACACTTTGCTGGTCACTCGAATGCATCTGTCCATTTTAACTTTTTGGAGACTGATTTCTAGGCTTAAAAAATGACAATTATTTAACAATAACGATAATAATAATAATAACAATAAAAAAAACAATAATGATAATATAATGAAGATATTAATAATAGCATCCAGTAAAATAGTTGTGATTGTGGCGGTAGTAATGGCTAAATTAGTAATAAAAGAGATGGCATGGAAGTATGGAAGTGTTGCAGGCAGTAATACTTGTGGTAGGTAGTATTGATCTGGAGGATATAATGGGAAAAGTGAGCCATTCAATGTAGATTGCACATTTACGCTTATACATAATGCATTCTGTGACAAAATGTCATGAATATAAACAACACACACGTACACACCATGCACACACACACACACACTACACACACATCTGCCTGCATCAAATAATTTGCGTTTGCACTTTCATTAAAACGGGTATTTTACATTTTTTCATTTTCAAATTTGAATTATAACTTTATGAAAACAATCGAACAACTGCAAAAATTAAAAAAAATCATTTTTTTTTATATTTCAGTTTTAAAACCTGAAGACTTGTTAACAGACAGCCAGACAGACATAAACTCTGGTTGGATGAGCATTTTGCCATCAAGGCTTTTGTACCAATGGGAGTTCTGTCTTGTCCTCGGCATATTCAAGCGTGAACGCTCAATGCTTGCACGTTAACTATTTAGCAGTTAATTTCAGCTCGTGCATAGAACATCATGAAAGTACATTACTATTTTCAGTGTATCGTACGTTATTCAAAATTTATGTTTATGATTACAGTATACGCACATCACGTATATTAACGTAAAATTTAAACGTGATTTTTAAGATTTATACGCAAACGGATTAGCGGAAATGAATACGGTTTATGAATGTGCATTTAAATGATGCATGCAGATTTTTTTAGTTGGAGGGAGGGAGGGAGGGAGGGAGGGAGGCATGCGTGTGGGTAACGAACGTACGTAGAGGAGGCATGCACTCTCGTGAGCGACGCAAGGAGGAACTGCACGTTATCGAAATAGGAATGCGCGCGTGATTTATAATATTGCGGAATTGAGATGTCTCTGATATGAGATGTCGATAAGGAAGTTTGTTTACATTCTATGCTGCACGTATGCGAGGCAATTGAGATTTAAGCTTCAGGTATTCAATGCAATTGTGCTGCCTGCTTTTTATTTTCATTCATACATAGGTTCACGAATATATCTGTACATTTGTACGTGTATACACATATCTATTTATTTGTTTGTTTAAGTTTTTAAACATCAATAAGTATATATCTAGCACTATATGGAAATATGATTATAAGAAATTTGTTTATTAAAAAATTTAATTCATTTATTTATCAAATCAAATCAAATAAACAAAGAAAAATCAAATAATTGAACTAAAAAAATAATCAGTAGATCAAAAAAAAACGAATGATCTTGTGACAGAACACCGGTGGACAAAATAAAATCAAATCAAAGATTTACTCCAGGTAATAAAATAATATTAATATAAAATGTACAAAATGAGTTTAAAACCTCAGTATACGCCAAAGCAACAAACAAAGGTTCATGCCTCATTGGCAATAGTAAATGTTTCAAACATATCTAGAGAGCACGATTTCTGCCTTTGTAAACTGAGCCTACACGCCCTCTTCTGATATAGGAAATAGGAGAACAGAACTAGATAGAATCACTAAACTACTCATTAAAAATGAATACAAAAATTCCATAATACACAAAATAATATAACACAAAGAACAAAAAATCAGCAACGACAACAATGCAACTAACAATAGTAACGAAAATAACATAGTAATATATTATAAGAACCACATGTCAGCCATTTTCGAACAGGATGAAAAAATCATGAAAAGAATTTAAAAAATAACGTCCAAGCAACCAACGAAAACGATAGCATTAAACTACGAATATACTACTCCACCAATCAAAGAGTGTCATCTCTTGTGGTGGAAAACAACTGCACTAGTAAACCAGAAGATAATGGATCATAGCCATCTAATAAATTTGTTCAAATGTAATATTGGTGACCATAATTCTGAATATATTGGTATAACGGCGACTAAGTTATCGAGAAGACTCACAATGCACGTACAAACTGGCGCTATAAAAAATCAAATCACAAAACTAAAATAAATAGACAAATATTGGATCATAATGTTGAAATCTTACATTACAATAACAACCATTATAATTTACGACTAGTCGAATCAATACTCATAGAACAAAGACATCCGATAATAAATATTCAACAACGGGCAATTGGAGTTCTTCCTACCAATAAATTCAGAAACAGAGGAATCATCAATAATGAAAACACGTAAAAGTGTTACATTTAACAATGTTGAAGATTGTAAAACTAATTAAATGAGCATTAAGTATTCACTTTAAACGAACAAGGAATCAACAGAGTAGAGGCACAGTACATATTTTTGAACATCAGGGCACATACACATCATATCAATTTGAACACCGAAGATGGTATAGGATTAACAAAAAAAGCCTTTTTGTTCTATCATGCATAAAATAAACAAAAACTTTGGTTTTGATTAAAGAAACTTGAAAATGATTAACGATCAACTGTTAGAAAAATCAAAAAGATAAATTGGGAGTTAACTAAGGCCGAACCAACTATGATTCGGCCTTATTTGGCCTATTTCATCAATAATGTATATATATATATATATATATATATATATATATATATAAACTTTTTTCGGTATTCCTATACCATCCTCGGTGTTCAAATTGATATGTTGTGGTTATGCCCAGATGCTCAAATATATATATATATATACTGTGCCTCTTTATTGACCTTTTGCCACCTTAATGATCACTTTTCTTTAATTATTTTTGGGTAAATTATTAGGAATGAATTAAAGTTTGAAAAAACAAGGGTGTCCCAATCTTTCAATCGGTACTGTATTAACTGGACGTGAGCATACGGGCCTAGCCCGCGCTATTTTTCTCTTTGAAGTAATATATTGTTATAACCGCCGGATTGATTAGATTGCGGTATATTATTACCTTAATATTGTTAAATTTGCTATATTAATAATCTTTGGATAGAGGATCGTAAAATAAATATTTGTAATCTTTTGATCACACAAATTAGCCCATATATGAGATCTGCGTAGTCAGGTTTGCAGTCAGGTTTCCAGCCGAGAATGTTAAGTCGTAAATGGGATTTATATAGTTACTTGAATTAGTTTAATGTTTCTACTACTGTTGGTGTTCCAATAAACATTCAACAAATTTAGCGTTTGAAGCAGTTGTGTTCACCTATCGGAAATCTTGAACCTACGGAATAACGAACACTTGACGATCGTTGGAAGCTACAACAATGGTGTTGGGAATATAGAGACCATTGAAGTTATAACATTGGTGTTGGTAGTTACGAGAGTTAAGGGTTACAACAATGTTAATATCTATATATATCTACATAAATATATACATATATTTTTTCGTCACTGTGCGGTTGATGAAAAATTTTCTCTGTTGTTTTTTGTAATTTTCCTGTGGTTCTTGTGCGAATTTTGACTTAAAGTTATATAAAAGTTTCAAGAAAAAAATAGTGAATATTAATATATTTATTTAGTATAGAAATTCTAAGTATTTAATTTAATTTATATAGGTTAAATAAATTACTTTTTTGGGTTTAAATTGCAGCGTAGTTGATAGCACCTGTTTATTGTACGCTCTCAGCCTGTGGAGTTAAATTGTTGTTTTGAAAGTTTACTTATACAATCAGTCAGGTAGAACACGATTTGTTCTTAATTGAACTTAAAGTTGCTACATTATGGTTGATAAAGTCAAGAGAACTACCAACAAATCTGCCAAAGAGGGTTCAAATTTGACTCTACAGTGTTTCCATTGTGATTCCTTGTTTCCTCTTCCTGCTGGAGTGTCTGATGAGAGTTATGAATTCATCATAACAGCTAACAATTTAAAATTCTTCTGCGACGCTTGTTTGAAAAAATTCTCTGTGGAGAAACAGTTTTATAAAAAATTAGAACAGAGTAAATCAGAGATGGTAGAAGAAATGAAAAAATTAAATGATGTAAATAAAACAATCATATCTGAAGAGAAACAGTTTCACAAAGAACTTGAAAAGGGTAATTCAGAAATTATAGAAGAAATGAAAAAATTAAATGACATAAATAAAAAAATCATATTTGAAGTTGTTGCAATTAGAGCCGCTATTGATGGAAATGAAAGCAAACTTACGCATATAGATACATCTGGTGCCAAGCTATCTGGTGAGATTGCTAGTTTGAAGTCTGAATTAAATAGGTCATTTGCCAGTGTCGTTAGTGGTGAGATGAAAAAAGGCGTTCAATCAATTAATCAGGACGTGAAAATTGTTCAAAAAAAGTTGCAGGATGTTTTCGATAATAAGGAAAGAGAAGCTAATATAATAATGTTCAATTTGAAGGAAGGATCAGACGACAATGCAAGAGTCTGCCAAATATTGGATCATTTGACTGAAGGGGTATGCGGAGAAAAAAATGTTCTGAAAATGATGAGGTTGGGCAAAAAAAATGACAACGCTATTAGACCAATTTTGATTAAATTTAATAATATTGAAGCTAAGTCACATGTTTTCAACGGCATTAGAAAAATGAAAACTCTGAAAGATGATTTGGCTTGTACTAGATTAGGCCACGATCTCAGTATCGATCAAAGAGCTGTACTTAAAAAGTTGCTCAAAGAAGCCAAGGAGGCGGAGGAGGGTTGCAAGCAAGGTTTTTTATATCGAGTGAGAGGAGAGGTTGGAAGGTGGAAAATAGTGCGGTTTCAGAAGGACACAAAATTAAACTAGCAAATGGTAGGTGTGGTTCTATATATGGTTTAATTGGGTTGGTAAAAAATAATTCTTGTGCTTCGTGGAGAAATGTTATTGATGGTAAAACTCAAATTAACAAAGTGGTGATTGGGTTGTTGAATGTGAGATCAATTGCGTCTAAGGTGAATGGTATTCATGGATTGATATGTGATGGGCTTGATATCTTGGTGCTTACTGAGACTTGGCATGGTGTGGTTGGTAATAATTCAGTTCGGTTGGCTATGCCACCTGGGTTCTGGTATGTTGATTATGTTAGGCAGCACGATCCAGGTCATGGTGGCTTAATTGTATATTTCCGTAAAGATTTTGGATATAAAAAGTTAGTCTTGCCATTATTTGCCACATTTGAGGCTGTTTCCATCAGGTTTTCGACTAGTGGGTATCAGTTTATTTTACTTGCCATTTACAGACCGGGCTCTGCACAAATTTCTTCTTTGTTTTTTGATGAACTGATATCTGTTTTAGAATATGTTACGATGTTAAATGCCAATATTTTGATGATGGGGGATTTCAATGTGCACATTGAAAGAGTTAATGACATACACACAGTCCGTTTGAATGAAATACTTGATGCATTTCAAATGATCAGTCATGTACATGAACCAACTCACGAGCAAGGTGGTATTCTTGATCTGGTTATTAGTTCAAGCAATTTTCCGATTTTGGGAGTTGAAATATTTCCAAGTGGAATATTTTCAGATCATGGTTTTGTAAAGGTTGAGGCATCAATTGCTCATAGATGTGTAACAACCAAACAGACAGTAAGATCGTGGAGAAATGTGGATGAAGATCAGATTGTTCAGTCAATTGCAAATTCTCCAATATCTGAACCATGCAAAAGTGAAAATGTTGAGAATGAATTAAAATTGTTCAATATGGAATTAAAAGGCATTGTTGACCGATGTGTGCCGCTAAGAGTGATTTGCAAAAGAATTGATAGAAATGTATCATGGTTTGATGATGATTGCCTACGGGTCAAACGATATTGCAGAAAACTTGAAAGATTGTATAGAAGAAGTTTATCAAATGTTCATCGTGAAAATTGGCTTGGTTCATTGAAAGCAAAATAAAAATTATATTCAGATAAACGCTGTGGGTATTGGAATAATTTGATAAAAACCTGTGGCAACCAAAAGGACCGGTGGCGAATTATAAATAAAATCTTATGCAATGATCGAAGTGAAAATTTATTGGATGCTAATGTCAATCATGCAGCTGGTGATTTTATGAAATTTTTCACAGATAAGATTGCAAAGATTGTGCATTCTGTTAATTCATCTAGTGTTTCAACCTCGTTATTAGAAGATAGAGAGTCACCAACTGTTGCATTGACATCATTTCCTGAAATCGCTGAGGAGGACCTTGTGAAGATTATACTTGACTCTCCGTCTAAAACTTGTTCACTTGATATCATGCCAACACACATTTTTAAGAAATATCTAAAGTATTTTATAAGTTTTCTAACTAGTTTCATAAATCTCTGCTTAAAAAAAGGCATAGTGCCAGACTATTTCAAGCATGCCACAGTTGTTCTGAAAAAAGTCGGCAGCGATGACGGGGAAATTGGAAACTACAGACCAATTTCTAACCTACCATTTCTATCAAAGGTGCTGGAGCGTGTTGTAAATGGGTTTCTACTGAAATATTTAACAGACAACGATCTTATGCCAAGGTATCAATCTGGGTATCGACGGTTCCATTCCACCGAAACAGCTTTGTTATATGTTTTATCAAGTTTGTTTGCTGCAGCTGAGGTTCAAAACATATCGGTACTATCATTCCTTGATATGTCAGCAGCGTTCGATTGTGTGGATCATGACATGCTTATAAAGAGATTGGAGTGCAGTTATGGTGTTCTTGGAGTTGCCCGTGACTGGTTCAGGTCATATCTCAAAAATCGTACACAACAGGTCGCTTTTAAAAACACAGTGTCAGATGTATCGTTGGTCTCATCGGGGGTGCCGCAGGGATCTGTACTGGGACCCATCCTGTTTCTGCTTTATACATCAGATATAATAAAAATAATCAGTTCCCACGGATTTGTTTGTCATGCCTTTGCGGATGACATCCAGGTGCTGATCACCGGTTCTCCGAGATCATTTGTAGATGAAATAAACAGATTTAATAAATGTATGTCGGACGTTGGCCGTTGGATGTCCGATAATTCATTGAAGTTAAACCAATGTAAGACTCAGTTCCTCCCAGTTGGGACATGGCAGCAGTTATCGAAGATGAATGTCACTTCAATCAAAGTAGGAGATACAAACATATCCTTTAGTACAACAGCTGTCAATTTGGGGATTCTGCTGGATAATGAGCTATCTATGAAAGACCACATCAGGATGATTTCAGTCTCAGCCATTGCTCATCTTAGAAATTTATATCGAGTCAGACATTTGCTGGATAGATCAACTCTGGAGGATCTGGTCCATGCGTTCATAACATCACGACTGGACTACTGCAACAGTTTGTTTTACGGTTTGCCTAATAGGTCAATTGACATTCTTCAGTCGGTTCAGAACAGGGCTGCAAAACTTGTAACTGGCAAATTGAAATTTGACCATGTAACTCCAATATTGAATGAGCTTAACTGGTTAAAAATTAAGAAAAGAATAATTTTTAAAATTGCAGTGATTGTGTTTAAATCCTTGAATGGAATGTCACCGGCTTACATCTCAGATAAATTTTCCATGAAGGCATCTACAACTTGTTTTTATCTAAGATCAGATAATATGAATCTTTTGGCGGTCCCAGCTAGGCATCTACGAATAGGTGCGAGAGATATTGCGGTCGCAGGTCCGACAGTCTGGAATGACCTACCAGTTTCATTAAGAAGATCTGGAATTAACTTTGTGACATTTAAAAGGGAATTAAAAACATACTTATTTTCTGTGGAAAAACAATGAATTTGAATATTTTGATTTATATCAATCATGCACAGTTATTTTGTTATTTTATTTTTGATAGCGCTTTTGAAATTATTAATTTGCGCTATACAAATGTTTCTAAATAAATAAATAAATGATATATATATATATATATATATATATAATATAATATTTATATACTCATGAAAAACAGTACTCATGTTGTTCAATTAAAGTGTGTTACTTCAAAGTGCAGCAGATGTCGGATGGTTGTCAAAATGGGAGTGAATATGTGTTTCATTTTATTATCGTTGTTTTATGTTAGTAAGAAAAATGATGGTCTTTTACGTAATAAGATGTGTGTGAGCTATTAAACAACATGATATTCGACAATAAGCACATGATTGGTTGATTGACTGATTGACAGGCTGGCTGGCTGGCTGACTGACAGACTGACAGACTGACTGACTGACTGACTGACGGACGGACTGAAAGACTGACTGACTGACTGACTGACTGACCGACCAACCGACCGACCGACCGACCGACCGACTGACTGACTGACTGACAAAAATAATTAATAATATGAATGATAATTAACAACAAATTTTTAAATCGACTCGGAATCGACTCCTCCCATGTTTGATATGAGAAATATCTTCTCGCCATTCAACATCGTATAACTTCATATGTTGTCAGCTGTGTTGCTTCAAAGACGTTATCTCTTACGTTGTAACTATACAGATTTCATTTCGCTATTTATCGGGCTCCATATTAACTTTTGCAACCAAACTTTATTTTATTTTATAAAGCAATTGACAATTTTGGCAATTTAATTTCTTCATACTGTCAATCATTATTTTTAATCACAACATCCACTTTGCAAAAGCTCAACATTCATTAGAACATCAACCAAATTTTGAGAGGATCAATCGCACCAGCAACGCTAAATCGGTGATTCAGTGACCGCTTAAATCATTTCAAATACTTTATATATACTTTAGTCAATTTTTTTAATTTTTATGTAAAATTTTTTGCAACGTGCAACAAGATTGTTTCCATCCTGTCTCATCTTGTATTCATGATTTTGCTCTAGTTCAAAATGTTTTCTCGTAGATTTCCATGTTTAAAATTTGATAACAGCAATCATTCCAAGCAACCCTCTTACTTCTTCAGGTGTGCAGTTTATTTTATCTGCTTACTTTCATATTAAATAGGTCTTGAATATGATTCAACATTATTATTTGATTGCAAATAAGGAATACACGACAAGTACCATGTTTCTTCATCTTCACGCGTGATAGTTATTCAAAATGTTGTAGGAATGAATTTGTAAAAAAACAAATCAAACAATCGACATATAAAAAGCAAATTTGAAAGTGTGCTATTGAGTGTCACAGAGGCAGATCGTCCATAAACAAACAACCACACGAGTTATCAGCAACAACATTTTCATCATTGCTTCATTCAACCTTAAGCATGAAGGAAGTTTTTGCAGAGAAACTATCTCTGTTATGGTAACATCTTTTGTTTTCTATAATAATTTTAATGCATGCAATTAATGCTTGATTTTTTCCTCTTTTGTTTTGCATTGCATTGTATTGTATTGTATTGTATTGTTTTGTGTTGTATTGTATTGTGTTGTGTTGTGTTGTGTTGTGTTCTGTTGTATTGTATTGTATTGTATTTTATTGAATTGTATTGTATTGCGTTGCGTTGCATTGCATTTTATTTTATTGTACTGTACTGTTTTAGTTGTCAACTTTATGTTTAAAATTTATAAAAAATTGAACAAAAGAACTTTATTTTTGGTTTTGATGAACGTATTTGCAGAAAATATTATTGATAATATAAATATTTATTTCTTTATTTATTTATTCAATTATTTATCTCCATCTTCACAGACAGTACATACAAATTTTTAAAAATTTTCAGCAAGGTGTGGGGAACCAGCCTCAGTAGTTTTAAGACCAGTATTCATGTGGTGGGCCTCACCAACGGAAATGAATGCCGGCTATGGGGAGAGAAGATCGAATCAACCTGAGATTGAATCGACCGGGATTGATAAATTTGTTAAGCTCTGATGAACTGGAAAAAACTGGTAGAATTAAGTGAACGACCAATAAAGGCAGTGAAGGTAGTGGAAGTGATTCGAAATAAGATTAACAATTAATAAGCAACAACAAAAACATCAACAACAAAATCATCAACATTATCTTTAGCATCATCACCTTCATCGTCATCGTCAATAGCAGCAGCAGCATGATGGGTTGCAGTCCGTTGTGATAAGAAACAGGATGTAACACTATTTGATTGTAATGGTGGTGCAAGCATTTTGCTAGCTTTCCTCGGATAATGAGCAGAAAAATTTAAACAAGATTTATGTTGCATACCTGCCTTTTATGGGCATTTCGTAATTTTATTTTATTCCACAATAATTTCGGTAATGTTATCATAATTTACAGTTTTTTTATTTTTAATATAGTACCAATATTTTAACGCCATATTAGTTTTTTACCTGATGCAACTTATCCACTTATGTTATTGTTGTAAATTTTTAATATTTCGTGTTTCGTTTGTTGACATAATGCAGCTTAACGGCAAAATTGTCAACAGCATATTTTCTTCATTCGAAAGATCTGGATCTTTTTTTACATTTTCAACCCTGAACCTCCTTCTACAACCTGTAACCATAGACGTTTCGGTGTAGTGACAGCCTGATGCTACACCAAGACATCTATGCTGTAACAGTCGGTAACAGAAACTCATTTATCCTACCATGAGAATTTGCGTAATACTCGATCAAACGAGCTTTAAATATTTTGACAAATTGAGATTCACTATTCAACTTCAGCAGCAGTTTCCAGCACCTCCCATCACCTTCCAACTTTTGAATTTTGTTGCGATCTTTACGTGATTTGTTTTCGTGAAGTTTCAAAAACTGTCGTAGATTCGTTCAGTAGAGCATTCATTCCAGCGTGATATAAAAATTTTAGTGTTTGTTTCTTTTTTAATTGGATGAACAAAAATTAATTATTAATTCTAATATTTTTCTCTATCGTCACATTACATTCAAATTTGAAAAATTTTAGCAGGAAACATACTAATGCAGAAGTTATTAATTTGTTTGTTGCTTTATTTACAATTTTTTATAAATTCAAAACATTCCGAATAAATGTATGTGATAAAGCTTGAAATAAACAAATCATTTTATATTTTGTTGTGGTCAGTTGTCCTGCATGTCCTGTGTGATTAATCAATAATGCTTAGTTTTGAATGAATTTTTAGGATAGAAAAGCTTTTGATCACTCATCAAATTACTATAAGAAGGAGAAACCTATTCACAATTCTTTTATTAATCAAACTTATGAAGAGGGGTAGCAGTGAACTTGGAGTGTAAACATAATTACAACGTAATTATAAGCAGCCATCCGTGCAAAAGCTGGTAGAGTAATGATTTGTGACGGGTCACCTCTTATGTGTCCAGTTTCTACGGCGTGCAATAAATAGAACTGCAAAACAATTTTATTTAGAATAGATAAAATAATAATGCTTTCTGTAAATTTAAAATGCTAAATCCTTAATTAATTTTAACAACATAAATACATTTAAATACATTATCGTGTTTTCACCATGCACCATCATCCAGAAAATTTGAAGGTCCCACGAGATAATTAATGAACGTAAGGAATGGATTCATTAATTTTCTTCTTCCAAGCAGCCGAACAATTTCCTAGATCGATTGAAATCATTATCAGCGAAATATTACATTGGAATATCGATAATGACATGACGTACGAGTTATTTTTAGCATCTTGCTTTCGTTTCGTTCTGCGCATGTCTCCTCCAACCGTCTCAAGTTGTTGGCTTCCGTTATGTCATCCTGCCCAGTAACCTCAAACTCCCGATTAATAAAATCATAATAAAATAATTGTAATAATATAGTTATGCTTATTAAAGTTATGCTTATTATTCTCTTTATTGTTTTTAATTGGTATCTTTATCGAGTGTCATGTTGGTTTGGTTGTTTCGTTGCTGTAATAATGCTTAAAATTATGAAACGTTTTGTATTTACTGTTTGAATGGCCGATGACGTTGTTGTGCGTCATTTTCACTTGAACAATTAAGATACTTTGTTATTTCTGCTGGTCCAACTAATGCAAATATAATTATAAACTTTATTGCTGTTTTGTAGGCACGTTTTCATCGCTCGCACAATATTTTTTACATTAAAACTGGAGATGCATGAAGCGTGTGACGACCATCAAACAGAAAAGCCGACTGACAGACAGAAAGACAGACAGACAGGCATACGTCACTATCCCTAAATAACATGTCATTATTGACATTATTGTTAATTTAACGCCATACTTTTGCATTGTGTAAACATCCACACAGCTCTCCCTCCATTCATGTCAGGAAGTTTACATTTAACTTCCGTCACGCGTTTCTTCCGTGCTTCTTGAGGTACATTTCATTTTCTATTTTTCGAAATTTGATAGTATCATGTGCATGTATCATTAGAAAGATTTGCTCAACACGCGTTGACCGAGTTCGAAAGAGCCATAAGAAAAAAAACAAAATCACATTTTTATCTATTTTGGACTCATTTTCAGAACTGAATGCATTTGTTTTGCGTACTAAGAAATGTTTACTACTTGATAAGAATGAACTATTTTCAAATAGAGCAGCCGAGAGTTGTTGGCAGAAGGAGAACGTATACGCTCTACATAATGCGCTCTTGTACGTAATATTTAATGAATGAAGGTTTGAGCTTTTCACTTTATTATCTACACTCTATATTTTTTTAATAAAATCAGAATTTTGTAAATTAGAAATTGTTATTTGTATCAAAGAAAAATTGATAATAAAAATAAATTTGCGGGGCGTTTGTTACATTTCCTATTGAAATATTTCCCAGTAGGTTCTGTACATCTTTTCATTGCCGCTGTTATTGCATCAACTACAACGTCATCCAGATACCTTAATTAAAAATGAACTCAGATTTTCTTAGATTCCTGTCATGTTCGTGTGTTGGTTCCTGCTGCGATGGCCCACCCGTGCCTCAACTTGCATCATCGAACGACTTCAATGGCATCGTTGCCTAACTCTTTTCATATCGCTAGTTTTCTTTTAATCATGCTCCAAAATGTAATATTAATTTATTTTATATGTTCGTAGCGATATAATTTTATCGAATATTGACTTGAATGAACTCAAGGTTCATGTGTGTGCGACAACCCCTTCGTACTCGCCTCACCACTGAACCATCTGAACTGAAACAAACCATTTTCAGTTCGACACCTCATCCCGCCTCATCACTAACTGAAAAATTAATTGAAACAAACTGGTTTCTATGGATGCAAGTTCAAACCTGTAACAACCGTAGTGGATCTAAGGGGACAGTGAGCAGTTTTTTAATAGAAATCAGAAAAGGGACAGTTTTAGGTAGAAAATCGACCGAAAATTAGACGGGATAAGCAAAAAATGATCGTCAGCCCCACTACCACAAATTTTAGGCTTCCCCGGGAAAATTTTTGCCCCCGTCAAAGTTGTCTTGGTCCGCCACGGTGTAACATTATATTTAGCTATTTATTTAGTCTTATTTACTATCATTCATGCATTCATTTAAACATTCATTTATTTACTCATTTGTTCATATATTTATCTTTTTACTTTTGCTGATATCTTTACATCTATGTACGTACACGTGTTCTCGTGTGTGATTTTGAGCGTTACATAACTTTGTAGGTCCAGCTTTGCACGAATGTTGTAAGTCGTATTCTATAAATAAATGATTTAAATAAAAGATTGAATAAATTAACAATAATTTAATAACATTAAATAAATTCTAAAAATAGAAGAAAGATTTAATCTGTTCCACATTAGTCAAAGCAACAATGATTTTCAAATTGCGTCGTTGGATCGATCGAATTAAGTTGTTTGCTGCATGGCGTTCAACGAATGCTGTTGAATCACTGATAAAATGGAAGTCTTCGTTGAGAGTAGTGAAAATCGGTACATTGAAGTATAGTTGTGATGGCATTGCAACAAGTAAGTCCAGTATACTTTTCAAACCAGCAAACACTTACGCGTACAAGATATCCAGGAAATATCTTGTACATTTCAAGCGAACAACATGCAGTGGCCTAGCTAGACTTTGAGGTTCAAGGAATTAGAGTAGGGCCTCTTATGTACATATTGATAAAAAAATAAAAAATTAGGCAAGTGTGTGCATATATATATATACATGTGTGTGTGTGTGTGTGTGTGTGTGTGTGTGTGTGTGTGTGTGGTGTGTGTGGTGTGTGTGTGTGAGTGTGTGTACTTGCGTATATTTTTAAAAGATTATTTACATTTTTACAAAACGTGACATTTTTGGTTTGAAACATTTAGATTATAAACAAAATTGCAACTTAAATAGTTTTTTTTTTCTTTTTTTTCAAATTAAGCCGAGCAATCGTTGCCAATAGTTCCATCCGATGTACAGTTGAATACATGTTTTTGCGCTTTTGCATTGGCAAATGTTTTCACAATTGTGGCAAGTAAATCTCTGAAAATCAATCTTTTTTTATACCTAAAAGGCTTCAATATGATGGCCTTTCTTAAACCATTGATGAGCGAAAGCATGTTTGTAATAATTTCACCTTTAAAAAACTTTGTTCGTCATCAGCAGTAGTCACTGGTAAAGTCAGAAAAAGACAATAGGAGATGACTAAGTCAGAAAAGCAGGTGTTTAGTTCTAATTTCATATTGCTGTTTAAGACATCTCCCAAATTTTTTGCTTCTCGGTTGAATGTTTTCGCGCATGATCTGAAGGCAAGAACCCGTCTTAGAAGATCGGATGCTACATGTTTCATGACTTAACGTTCCACATCTGCTTCTGATAAGTCCATCAAGTGCCTCGGGAACAAAATTGAAAATAAATCGACAATTGCGTGAAGAGATAAATCAGAATAATAATAAAAAAAAGATTCAGGTCGAGTTTTTAGTTGCCTTAATCATGCGTCAACAGCTGGAAGATAAACACTAACTCTAAATGTGTCATAAGGTATTCGATATTTCATCAAAAAATTGTTTGCCCGAGATCTTGTGTTTTTTAATGAAAATTTTAATCATTATTTTTACAAAATAAAATCTAAAATTTCTTTAATAAACAATTGAATTTGTTGAAATAACTTACCAACATTTGTAGTAAAACGATTGCGAAATGGGAAAAAATTAACTGAAGACGACAATAATGAAATGTAGATTAAATAATATCTTACTGTAAGAACAAAAAAATATAAAATTATGAACCATAGAAGTGAACATAATTTAAAAGGGTAATACAAAACAAAGATTATATTAACGAGAAATTAAATTAATTGAAAATATCAAATGCAATATTAATTTTATACAGAATTTTGCTAAACATTTTATTTTTCATTTTTCTGGGGTCCCTTGAGTCCCGAGGGCCCTGGGTCAACGAACCTATTGAACTTGTGGTCCCTATGCCATTGGCAACATCACAGAGATGCAGAAAATAAAAAAAGAGTAGTTGCATAACAAAAACACAAAAACGAATGGGAAGCTTCGCACGTTCCAACAACTGACAATTAATCCTATAAGACAAAATTTTATGGAGCCATGCAACGCATTTAAAAGGCTATTATAGAGAGTTTAAATTTGAAAATACGGTTATTACCTCTTTTGTTTTTATGAAAAACACATGAAAAACACGCTTTAATGAAGTGCAAGGATTATTTTTTAATAATTAAAAATTCAATTAAAATTTTTGAATTAACAACTTCTGCTTTCAAACTAAACGATCACAAAAGAAAACTTTGAAATTGTCGTAAGTTTAAATTTTAATTGGATTTTACTGCAAAACATAAAAACTGATAATACAAAAATACTTTATTTTTTTATTCAATAGTTATCATGTTCACGAAAAACCGTGTGAACAAATGAACGAACGAAGAGCAAAGCAATCAAAAGTAACGAATAAATGTAAGAACAAAAAAGTATATAAAAATAGACGAACGGTTAAAAGCGATTGAGCAACAACGTGAAAGGATTTTAAAATGTTGAAAGAGTCTGCAGTGTTCCTATTGAGGCCATCAATAATTTATAATGATCCCATTTTATATTGGAGCCACGATCTTCGCAACATCGCAATGGCCGCATCTCCGTGAATAGAATGGAATTAGCCTGATTGCTGGAGTATGATAGCGACGTGGCAAGTTGAAGGTTAGCTGGCGTTCAATTTTTGAATATGAAAACATTACATTCCCGTTAAAAAGTTCATTTCCTTGCAACAAATTAATCAGGTTTAGCTTTTAACGTTCTTCTAGTGTGCAATAAACATTTGTAATATATAATGTAATCAATTTTATCAATCAAACGAAAAATTATTCGACAAATGATGATACAGACGGTTGATTCAAATTAACCATAAAACAAAAATTGATGCTCATCGTCTCAAGGTTATTAAATAATCCTTGTTTCATAAGACTAGAGCATATTGTGGACTAGAGTTTAACAAACATCATAAATGAGCCATACAATTTTATCGAGTATGAGCGATTGTCTAAATGACAGTCTGAAACCTACTACGTGAGGATTATTATATTCAGCCTAGCATCTTTTCAAATTTTTATTAAATTATTATGTCCAGCTTAATATACGGCAATGATTTGCAAACGCCCAATACCTTGTAGCAAGCACGATAAAAAGCAAATCACAACCATAGAACATCACCAAGGGTAAGCACTCTAAAAACGTCAAATCGATAATTTAAAAGTTGATTACACACGATTTAGATGTATAATGGAGTAGAACACCACCCTGACACATCGTACAGCAGGGTTTTCCAACCGGTGGGGCCGGCCTCCCTTGGGGAGGCCAAATGATCTTTTAGGGGAGGCCAACTAAGGTGTTCTATTTACATGTATTTTATAAATTTATATAATTTTATAAAGTTTTGTTAAATCACAAAATTTTAATCATGCTAAAAACGATTTTTTGAATACTATATGAAAATTGTTTTTGCTCAACGGCTTTCCATATTGTATTTATTTGAATAATGATTTGCACATTTTTGTTTTCATAAATCCCTCATTTTCTTTCTGTCGCGTTTTTTGTGATACCCTGCATGAGTTTCTTTTTCAATAAAATTAATAAAATAAGACAATTAATTGAATAAATTAACTAAAAATTTGGTCTGCTGTTTCTAACATAACTGGTAATTTATATTTGTGATTTTTTAATTATTTCAGTTCTTTTAAAAATATGTGTTTTTTTATCATTTTCAGTTTTCAATAATGTCGAAAAAACGTTGCTATGACGAAACCTACGTTGCGTTTGGATTCATGACTATTACTGAAGAAGATGGCACTGAAAAGCCACAATGTTTCTTATGCGGAGCAGTATATTGTAATGATAGAATGAGACCAGCAAAGTTACGCCACCACTTAGAAACCAAACATCCTGGAAATGTCAACGACAACCTGGATACCTTCAAACTGAAGCGAGCTAGATTTCAAGCCACTAGAACATTAAAACATGTTGGATTTGCTCAATCTAAGAAACCTTTTTCTTGAGGCTTCTTACAAAGTTGCCTATTTGATTGCCAAAAAAAGAAAACCACATACAATTGGAGAAACCTTAATAAAACCCTGTGCACTTGAAATGGTGGAGTTAATTCTTGGAAAAAAAGAAAGAAAACAGGTTGAAGAAATTCCACTTTCTAATGTTATTTGTTCCAGAATAGCAGATCTTTCAAATGATATCTTGGACCAAGTTATGTCAGAACTGAAAAGTAGTCCTTTTAATTTTGGTATGCAACTTGATGAAACCACAGATGTATCAATGTGTTGCCAGCTTTTAGTGTATGTAACAAATCTGGATTGGCTGCCTTAATCAAAGTTAATTCTCCACAGACACTTGTAACTCATTGCATGCTCCATCGCCATGCTCTAGCTGTGAAGACATTACCAGCAGAGCTTCAGTCTGTCATGTCTACAGCGATCAAAATAGTCAATTTTATACGATCGAGAGCAGTAAACCATCGTTTATTCAAAGTTGTATGCCAAGAACTTGGTTCTGAATACGATGTCTTGCTATATTACACAGAAGTCAGGTGGTTAAGCAAAGGAAAGGTATTTTCAAGACTAATGGACCTGAAAGATGAGGTGTCTTCATTTTTGCAAGAAAAAGAAAAAACGTTAGCAGGTGACTTTGAGAAGACTGATTTCATAGTTAATATGGCTAATTTAGCTGATCTGTTCACGCTCTTAAATGAATTTAATCTTTGTTTGCAAGGACCAGAAATGACAATAATCGACGCCAATGAAAAATTTGTAGGATTTTTAAATAAGCTTTCATTGTACAAAAGAAGAGTAGAAGCTGAAAACCTTGCAAATTTTCCATACCTAGCTGATGTTATAAGTAGCAGTGGAAACAAATCAATGCCTGTTGAAATAAAAAAAGAAATTATACAACATATCACAACTCTCCAACTATCATTTGAGCGTTATTTTGATACTAAAAATTTGGAAAATAATCTTTGGATACGAAATCCGTTCATTATTGACTTGGATAGTGTTGCTGATGAAGAAGAAATAAAGGAAGATTTAATTGATCTTCGATCAAAAGAGTTGGTAAAAGCTGAATTCAATTCCAAAGGATTGGCAGAGTTTTGGTACAGTCTGAAAGAAATATACCCAAATTTATTTAAAAAAGCCATGGCAGCTCTGATTCCATTTTCGACCACCTACTTATGTGAAAAAGGGTTTTCTACATTAGTATCTATCAAGACTAAAGCTAGAAATAGATTGGATGCCTCGAATGATATGAGGGTATCTCTTTCTAATACAGAACCTCGATTTCATCTTCTCTGTGATGGAAAACAGCAACAATCATCTCATTAAGCTTCAATAACATTTTATGTAATAAATTAAAAAACCTTACTTAAACCTTATTATTATGAACAATGCTAATTTTAATTAAATCTGTCTGAATAAAAATTGTTATAACAAATTGATTTATTTTTCAATTATTGACGACGGGATTTGGGGAGGCCAAGTTACCATTAGGACTTTTTTAGGGAGGCCAACACTGAAAAAGGTTGGGAAACACTGTCGTACAGGGATCACCCAACGGTCGCGCACCACTGAATGAGCACCACAGAATTTAAACGTAGGAATTGAAATAAACGTCGACTCGTAAGCGCTTGCGTCACTTCATAACTACCATCCCCAATCAAAATCACAATACTGGCCACTGAAACCCTTCGTCAAATATGTCGCGTAACTTTCCCGTAGTAAATCTTACAGTAGAACACACACTTGACTCACGTACTAAAAAAAATAACACTAAGAGGAAACGAGTTAATAAATAAGTATATTTACACAAGAATTAAAAAAATTTTTTTAATAAATAAATAAAAATTATGATTTTTTTGCTTTATTTTTTCTTCTTTTTTTACTTTTCTTCTCCAAATCATCCAAATCCTAAAAATTTGTATCGATTCGTAAATACAAATTTCAAACTAGCATTGACAAACGTAGTTATGTTGAATGGCATTAATATATTCAACATGTAAAAATCGAATCAATAAAATTTAATAAAATCCAATGTAGCAGTTTTGATGTCAGTTAATAAGCTTTATTAGTTAATAATTAATCTAAGTTAAGATGTTGAAGAAACCTGTTTCAATATTTCCTTTTTACGTTTGTTTATTTCTCTCTTCTCCCCAAAGTTTGATTCTTCTAATTTCTGCACACATCAATTTACAGATGTTAAATTTAGCACGCAAATTTTAAAAAAAATTTACATGAAATGAGGGAAAGACCACATCAGGTTACCGAATTTAAGAAATTTTCAATGTAAACACTATGAACAAAAGTTTTGCTGAAAACAATGAAATTACATTTTTTTAAAATAATTTCGTCCCATGATATCTTTCAAATCTTATCTCAATGCAGACACAAAACAATTTTTTAGCACGAGTCAGTTGACACGTGACTTCCATTAACAAATCAAACAAATATTCATTTGACTTTATCTAATTATTTAAAAAAATATTCAAAATAGTTTTCATCTATTACAATATCTTCACATCGGCATTTTAAATGCAGATCCCTGGTGTTATTTGTAGTGTGCTAGAACGATACAACAAAAAGTTGACGAGCGATAACAATTACAGGTAGTGCAGTATGTGAATGAGTAAGGCGGTTTTATGAAAACATTCCGTAATTTTTAACGAAACAATTGGAGGCTAGTCACATGAGAAAAATGCAATACGCAAATGCAATACTATGGCAGTCAAATTGTAAAAAAAAACAAACTTTATTTCAAAAAACAACAACAAGCAATAAAATACTGACTATTTCAGATTTACTCCTAAGGACGTTGACCTCGAGAGCAATTTTTGCAACTTCCTTTTCATCGACATCATGTTTTGTCAACTTTGTACCTGCAAATATTAAAAAAACTAATTAAGTGAGGAGATGCTTAATGTGGGTATGAAAAAAATTATTGCTGACTATCAAAACCACGCCATTGAAAATCTCGCAGCCCAGTTATTTAAATACATGATTCAAACTGAAAAAAATATTGTAAACATTTTTTACTGATATTAAAAAAATTTTAGAAAGCAGATAGGATAAAAATGATCAGCAATTATTTTCCAAACCTATGTGATCCTCAATGGCAACTAACAACTTCGCATCAAATGGCGTCACCAACGTTACAGCCATTCCTCCTCTACCTGTACATCAATAATTTTTTTTTTTAATGATAATAACAACCTTTGGAAGCCCTGTTCATTCATCCATTACCATATAACAAAAAAATGAAAAAGTGTGAAACAGAGTCAAACCAGTAGCTAATGCTACATGCACATGCCAGTGATATATGAATGAATTGTCAATATATTTGTTCATGAGGGAATAAACGTTGAAACAAAATGAGCAGATTGAATTGAATGCAAACAATATTTAAAGAAAGAAAAAAAAATAAATCAAATGCTGAAGAAAAGTTGGTATTGTAATAAATAAATATATAAATTAAAAGATATTAATGATAAAAATGGTGATGACTGTTTGTGAAATTTGGTTTTTTAAAAAATAGCAGCGGAGCAGTCTCACTCACCGGCTCTTGCTGTCCTGCCTACTCTGTGGATGTAGTCCTTGGGACGAGTTGGCACGTTGTGGTTGATTACCAGGTCGACTGTGGGAATGTCCAGACCTCTGTTGATCATAAGTAAAAATTTAAGTCACTATAACTGCAGCCAGGCTGGCTGGACAAATTGATGAAGTGGAGAACTATCAGAAAAATGACACAACAGATGAAACAGAAAATCATTTATTTAATTAAAGAGTAAACAATGACGAGAGGGCATGACCAACCTGCTTGCAACATCAGTGGCCACCAGTATTTTAACTTGACTTGACTTGAACTTGTTTAGAGCAGCAATCCTCATTTTTTGCTGAAGCATCGAGTGCAAGGCCACACATTCAAAGTCCAGCTCGACAAGCACCATTGCCAATATTTGACAGTACCTCAAATGTTCATGAGCATTTAATATATAATTAATCAGGCAAAACACAAGTAAAGCGAAAACTGGGACTAAATTATAATGGCATATAATATATATCATATCATATCATATATGTCATATCATATCATATCATGTCATATCAGCAGTGTATCATTAATAAATAATTTAATTGAGCTACTAATGAAAATTGATGAGTGAAGGAAATAATAAATAGGAGAGCGTCATTGGAGGACCAGTCAATTAATGTGACAAACAGTGTCCAACGAAAATGTGGCAGTCTTAAAATGGCTCACTTGCATGTGTTGACGAATATCATGACAGATGAGTTAGGACGTTTGTTCTTGAAGACATCGATGATGTGAACCAGGAAGGCATCCTTGATGTCAGCGGGACACAGGACATACTGTTGCGACAACGTATCCACTGTGGCCACTCTGCATGGTTCATTAGTGATTAAGTCAGGTGCTCCTCTTTCACTCAAAATATTATACAAGTCTTCAAACAACCACAACGAAATTATTTTACTAATAAGTGTTAAATAAATAAGTTGATAAGAAAGAATTTGAAGGTAAACCGACGGGCCAGATAAATACTAACGCATCGCTTGAGACCCATACAAATGGCTTGTTGTTGGAAATGTGTTCCAACTGTTGCAGTGTGTCAGTCAGGGTGGCACTGAAGAGTAGGGTTTGTCGTTTCTCGGGTAGGACTGAAAATATCGTTTGCAACTGGTCACCAAACTTATCTTCAAGAAGGCGATCTGCTTCGTCAAGCACCTGCATCGTTCAACATCCATCATTCGTCAGCACTTCTTATTTTATTACGTCGTTATTTCACTTTTTGAAGTGCATTCTAGCGAGAGCTAATACAAATTATAACCAACCAACCAAAAATCTGATTTTCTTTAAACTGAAATCAGTGCCATGTTCAATGTGGTCAGCCAGTCTTCCTGGTGTAGCAATGACAATATGAGGTTTGTTGGACAACTCTATACCCTGCTCTATTATATCTGTCAATCATCAATCATCTTTTAATTATATATGATTCGAACATTTAATGACATTAATGTGATTAATCATTTTATAAACATATAATACGACTGGCACAACACAGCACCAAGACAGTGTCTTCTAGCATTGTAGATATGCACAAAGCAAATAGTGACATGAAAGTGCAATGCAGATTGTTTAAAAAATTTCTGGTGTCAATCCATTTATGAAGTATGCGACGGCAGGCATATCAACATGTACATTTTGCAACGGTTACATCTGATCAAAGACATGTTCAGAAAGTTACATTATATATAAATGCTGTAAGGTAATGTAATGCAACTGTGTGAGTGAAGTCTGAAAATTTAGAAAAAAAAGTGTGGTCAAGTATTTAAAAAATTAGATGAGGCAAAATGCATGAAGTAGAGGAAGATGAATATTGCCATGCTAATTGAGTGAGTGAGAATCAATCTCTGTGCTTGATTCAAATAAGACTTATCACATTATTTGGATGGTGTTGAGTAGGAGCATTTGAGATTTGAAAAGATGAGAACCTGATTAGGCAGCGACAACTTCGACGGTTGTAAATAAAAGTGATGGCACCATATTAAGTTATAGATGCAAAAAATTTAATAAGACATTGCAAAAAGTGAAGGCAAAAAATCTGTGAACATATGAGGCATACGCAATTTACCTGCTCCTCCAATGATGATTGAGTATTTGAGACCCAATGGCTTGCCTAACACTTTAAAGTGTTCACCAATCTGATGAGCCAATTCTCTGAGAAGTTCAAATTATATGATCAAACAAATTGAAAACTTGGTTCTTAGAAAAGCATTTATATCAATAAAAAAAATCCCCAGTTAACTTCAGAAAAGTAAGAATGTGTGTGTCACCTGGTTGGTGTGATGATGAGAGCAAATATTCCATAGGGGTCCTCAGACAAGAGATGTAACATGGGCAGGACGAAGGCTGCTGTCTTCCCACTGCCGGTCTTGGCACATCCTATGCAATCTGATCCTTCATGCCATTTTTAATAGGTTATCAAATAAAATTAATCATGTATTATTAAGCATTGTAAGAATAATTTTCATCAAACTATAAAAATGTTATTTACAATTTAACTTTATGAAATTAGAATAAAAACATCCTCTTTTGCACCTTACTTCATGAAATAAATGTTAGTTTCTAAAAAAAAAATTTTGATCCTGAATGCAGCTAGTTATTATAGATCATAATAGAAAATATATCTTAGGCAAACCAAAATTTTATATTCTAGTTCTACTACTGCAGTTAATCATGAAATGGCTGATGTTGGTTCAGATAATTAATGTTGACTTTTTAAAAGATAAAAAATGCTATTTTAATCATTAATTTCTACTTTCTAAGATTTTGCATCTTTGAAATTTAAAGCAGGAAGAAACAATTGACTTGGTGTTTGATCGTTGCACTTCTACACACAAGGTTGGATTACTGTTTTAACAGTTTGTTTTTCGGTACTCAAGATTCAACTCATTGAAAATCATACAGCCCAGCACGTAGCTCAGATGCTCAGAGAACTTTACTGGTTGCATGTTAGAAAAAGAATAACTTAAAAATATCGCTTCTGATGTGCAAATGCATGAATGGTCCTGCACGAAAATATTTGGTTGACAGATGCATTCCTAAATTGTTGTTTCTAAAACTGCAGCGTGTACACATGTGCTCCAAGAATGAAAAGCAAGTGTTGTCAGTCTAGGAATGTAAACGCAACATCGTTTGATCGTTCATAAGAACATAAATTGGCTCATTACATGTTGATTTAATATTTTTAGGAAATTTTTATTCAACAAATTTAGTTCTTTGCATTGATATTTTAATTTAAAAAAAAAACATGATTAATTTACTATTGACAAAATTCACAGCTTCATTCTTTAGATGATTCTGAACTTAGCCACCAGCCACAATGACCGACCTATACATTATGTGCGCGGAGAGATCGTGAAAAAAGAGAGGACCATCTGCTGAATGCACAGCAGATGTTCATATATGTTACCAATAATTGTATAGCTATATAAATCCTTAACTGATCATTGAAATGTATGAAATGTATGTATTCTATATATTTAAGTAACGCATGTATGAACAATGATTGTATGATGTATTGAACAACATAAAAAAATTGACAGTAAGTTGAACATAAAAATCCATTAAAAATATTATTAATTGCGGCCTCAAAAAAAGATTTCTACCACTTATGTAGAATTAAATTACCTTTCTAACAATATATTAGCCACTGAAAAAAACAGCCTTCCAGGGTGTTCAAAACTCGAAAAACTAAAACATTTACATTGTGCATCGAATAACAAAAATATTTTTTTCACTATTCATAATTGCGGCCTCAAAAAAAGATTTCTACCACTTATGTAGAATTAAATTATCTTTCTAACAATATATCAGCCACTAAAAAAAACAGCCTTCCAGGGTGTTCAAAACCCGAAAAACAAACACACTTCATTGTGCATCAAATCACAAAAATATTTTTTTTCACCATTCATAATTGCGGCCTCAAAAAAAGATTTCTACCAAGGATGTAGAATTAAATTACCTTTCTAACAATATATCAGCCACTAAAAAAAACAGCCTTCCAGGGTGTTCAAAACTCGAAAAACTAAAACATTTACATTGTGCATCGAATAACAAAAATATTTTTTTCACTATTCATAATTGCGGCCTCAAAAAAAGATTTCTACCACTGATGTAGAATTAAATTACCTTTCTAAAAATATATCAGCCACTGAAAAAAACAGCCTTCCAGGGTGTTCAAAACCCGAAAAACAAACACACTTCATTGTGCATCAAATCGCAAAAATATTTTTTTTCACCCTTCATAATTGTGGCCTCAAAAAAAGTTTTCTACCACTGATGTAGAATTAAATTACTTTTCTAACAATATATCAGCCACTGAAAAAAACAGCCTTCCAGGGTGTTCAAAACCCGAAAAACAAACACACTTCATTGTGCATCAAATCACAAAAATATTTTTTTTCACCATTCATAATTGCGGCTTCAAAAAAAGATTTCTACCACTGATGTAGAATTAAATTACCTTTCTAACAACATATCAGCCACTAAAAAAAACAGCCTTCCAGGGTGTTCAAAACTCGAAAAACTAAAACATTTACATTGTGCATCGAATAACAAAAATATTTTTTTCACTATTCATAATTGCGGCCTCAAAAAAAGATTTCTACCACTGATGTAGAATTAAATTACCTTTCTAACAATATATCAGCCACTGAAAAAAACAGCCTTCCAGGGTGTTCAAAAATCGAAAAACTAAAACATTTACATTGTGCATCGAATAACAAAAATATTTTTTTTCACTATTCATAATTGCGGCCTCAAAAAAAGATTTCTACCACTGATGTAGAATTAAATTACCTTTCTAACAATATATCAGCCACTGAAAAAGACAGCCTTCCAGGGTGTTCAAAACTCGAAAAACTAACACATTTCATTGTGCGTCGTATCACAGCGACTGAAACAGAAAGATATTTTACTCGCAGACATGGTGGTCGGTACTATTGGTCTGCCATCATCGCTTTTATTTCATTATAAAAATCATTATAACACCTCAACCCTAGATAAGCATTTATTGCTAGGCTGACTCTTTCACTTTATTTTATTGTGAATAAATGGATCAACAAAAAAACTTAAATTACACGTTCCTCTAGCCTTTGTATGCGTGGGTGTGTTTGTGTATGTATTATGTTTTTGCATGTATTGTGTGTGTATTGTATGTGTCAATAATTAACAAAATAACCCAACGATATCTTTAACAATTAATTCTATGATAAATTTAACTGACTTCAAATTCAACAATGTTCGTTTATGTCTATGTGCGTTTTATTCAATGGGCTTTTTTGGTTGTGCTATTTTTTCAGTCCAGTGGCATCGAAGTATGTTTTTTAGTATTGAATTTTAAGCGGCGTGCGCTCGTGTATGTCTGCCCTTTTTATTGCAGCCAATCGCACAACGTAGTTCATCATTAGGTTAGTTGAGAGCGGTGCCATTGGTTCTGCATGCATTATGCCCGAACCAATGATTACAGTGCATTATTTTCACATTCATACCAATATATGTTTATATATGTGTGTGTGCGTGTGTGAGTATGTATGTACGCACGTATGTATGTTTGTAAATAAATAAATTTGCAAATCAAATCACCCAGTCCGTCTGATTCATTGGTCAATTGTAAAATTTTAACAAACATAAAGTACTATTTTCACATAGGAAAAGGAATAAGACAATTGAGAGGTTTAGAAAGAAATCACAGATAAATAAAACTGGCTAATAAGCTACCGTCACTTGTCCGAATAGACTGTATTAATGCCTCCGATGATAATACAGTGCATCAAGGTAACATGATGCAAATTCACTCAAATGACGTTTTAGCTAATGCTAGATCTGAGTCATTGAGTGTTGACGATGAGGATAAAGATAACGTTTTTGATGTAATTATAAAGCTAAGAAAAGAACTACTTGCTTCAGATAGTGATAGATTTATACAACATGTTAGTGAGCCGTTATGCATCGTTTCATATTCATACAAACAGGTTGAAGTTGCTAAACGAACCAAAAAAAAGAACATATTGCCAGTGTTGTATTTTGAATCGACAGGATCGGTGATAAGAAGGACCAGCTCATAGCAGAAGAGAATTTTTTATTACACTGGTGTTATTTCAGTAGATAATAGAATAATTTCAATGATCGACTTTGTAACATGTAGGCACGACGTGGATCACATAAGTCAAGTACTTATTGACTATAAGCACTACGTCTCAAAAAAATTGAAAGAATGGCCTTTGTATTCGAATGTTGTAACCGATTTTTCTATGGCACTTATTGAGGCTGTTTTGAAAGGATTTAACACGATGGAAATTCCAACGTATTTGCAATATGCAATGAAATGGGCAACCAGTGACGTCATTCCTATTAAAATTGTACAAGTGAAATTGTGTTGTTGTCATTTTATTAAAATAGTAACCAGAGAGATGCTTAAACACACTAAATTTAAACCGGATTTTAGTTACCATTTTACATACGTTAAAAAAATACTCAAATTTACGGTTATGTTGAACATCAAAAAATAACACCAAGCAAATAGTTAATTAATTCAAATATATAAATAAGTTGTGTAATATGCCAAATTCTGTTATCAAAGATCAGCTTATAACTTATGCATAACCCGTGTTATAGCATAAAGAAAATTGACCAGCTCACCTCACAATTAAAGGATAGAGTATAGAGTCAGGTAGACCATAGTAGAGCGAGTTACAATAATCAATCCTAGATAAGACTAACGAAGTAACAAGAAGGAGAAGAGTAGGATCATCAAGAAAAGGCAAAAGTTTTTTTTTAATCGTTATTGATTTAAAAAAATGCATTGTGTGTTCATTGTGTATGTTTTTCTACAAATACAGCAGAAAAATAATAATTATTATCTAATATTTACACCACACAAAATTTAATTTACTAATAAATAATAGAAATTAATAGGATTATCAAATACACACAACTACAGTATTATATATTTTTATAGCATCGATATATAACTATATAATTATATATACATGTATATATGCAAACCTGTTAGCTGCCACTTAACAGGATATAAGATATAACATAATATAGCTATCATATAACATAATATAACATATATCGCATGCAGGCTTGCTGTACCCTCTCTCTTTTACGTTTATCTCTTTTTTAACGTGTGTATAATTGGCTTTTTAACGTGTGTATAGTTGGCATCGAAGATTGCTTATAAAATTATATAGGTCGGTCATTGTGGCTAAGTTCAGTCTCATATTCTTTAGCAACTTTTCAATAACTCAGCAGCAATATTTACCATTGATTAAAAAATTAAAATTTATCGTATTGTTTTAATATTTAATATAATAATTGTATTGATCAATAAATTAATTATTATTAATAAAAAAAATATTATCGTTGCAATCAAAAATTTAGTATTTTAGTAAGACAAAAAAAGCATTCACCTCCATAATGTAAAAAAAACTAATTTGTTCACTTTATTTACTTATTCATGAAAATGAAACTGTTTCAAAAAATTTACCTTCTAAAATTTTTGGTATACAGTTCAATTGAATTGGGGAGGGTTTGGATATCCCCACGATTTCACATTGTTTTACAATCCAATTATTCAGCCCCAAGTCACGAAACGTTTTGCCAGAAGCATTTTCTTCTGAAGATGTGTTCGATGCCATTTGGTTGGACAGAATGAAAATAAACCACTGGGTCACAACAAAACAAACCTAAAAAGTATAAACAAGCTTCCTTTAGTTTACAACACTGAGCACCATGCGTTTTTGGTGTGGCAAAAGTAACACTTAAAAATAAATATGGAACGCCAGAAAGTTAATAAACATTTAAAAACCAAATGTCAGAAACAAACATACATAGTACATAGCGCTATTCAATTATGGAAACAGGTAAAACTATTTTTAGCATCTTTACAGCAATAAATATATATATTAAAATATTTTTACAGCCATATATATATAAGATAAAATACAGCTTCTAATTATATGGCTTAGACATTTTCATTTTAGTTGATTCCCACATGGACGTGCTGATGTTAGTTCCACCTGTATTTTGAAATGACGGGTTTGTTTTTGTTTGTCGTCGTTATAGATTTGAAAACCTATTTATAGTTGTTGATAGCAAGCGTCCGCACGAGGGAACGGCGGCAGGCGACAACTTATCTCAACAAGTCTGGAACGCATCACAATGGGACTGTTCATATCGATTTATAGTTTGGTCGAAAGTCTTTCTATGCTGGGAATATCAGTTTTTTATGTAAGGTACCTTGCTTATATTATATTATATATTATAATGAATATTATAATATAATAAATAACATAACCAATTTTTTTATAATTTATTTATTTACTTATCATACTATTTATTTTATTCTCTAAATATATAATTTATAATTGTCACAGTACATGTCTTATAATTTAATTACTGTCATATATAATTATAATATTATATATTTAATTATTAATATTATCACTTCATTCATACATTGTAGCTATTTAATTGCCTTTCAGTTTTATTTACGCCATCATATATCACAGATATATAAAACATAAATAATATAATATATAATCCCATGGCAAAATATATATAATATATAAATAATTATATATCCTACATAATATGATATGGTATTGTATGTGTATTAGTATTAGTATTTTAAGTACTTGTTTAGTCTTTAGTCACTAAAGTTTAGTGAATATTTAATAATTTAGTATAGTTAGTGAATTCAATTTATTATTATTTAATTTTAATTTTAGTTAGATTTTTTAAATAGATCTTTTGTAAATTACATTATATATCATTTTTTGTGCTTTATTTGTTTATTTTTAACTTTTTCATTTTATTCACAATGGCTTTTTTGTTCATTGTAACAACTTTAGTTTATGCTACATAGCTAAAATTTTAATTTTTTTCTTACTTTTGAGCTTATTGACATTTTAGAACAGTTCTGTAATTGAAAAATTTATTAATCAAACAGGGGCTAATCTAGACAACTTTGGTTGGGGGCCAAGATGTTGAACAATAACAACCAGGGGTGGGAATTTCTAAAAAAAAGTCGATAACGGGGAATTTTTACAAATTTGGTTCAAAAATTTATTTGTCAATGTTTCTGCTAATGGGCTTGTAATGTCAATTATCTCTTCCAAAACACTACTTATTCCGTTGAAACAATGACTTTTACTAACTTTTAACACAAATAATGCCACCTGCTAGATCCGTCATTGTGATCGAATAAAACAAAAGTGATAAATTATTGTTCAAAAAATGATAACAATCTCAATAAGAAGTTGGAAAATTAAATGGGAATAAATAAGTGAATGAACAATTAAGAAAAGTTATATCATCACTAATGATCACCTTTTACACTAAATAAACATAACAAAACTTGTATGAGCTGAATCATCAACATTCCAAGTAAACATCACTGTTGTACCATTGATGCTTGTCTTGGAGAATACTATTGATTTTATTGTTGGCTTATTTGTTAGATTTAACTATTTGTGCTAACTCAGCTGTTTTATGGTTCCTTTCTTATTTATCATTTTTTGTTTTTTTTTTAATCTGCCAACCTGCACTTACTGCTCTATAGTGAACTCATTAATGATGTGTTGGCATTCAAAGTTTCAAAACCAATTGATCCCATCCCATGTGTTGAAAGACTTGATGGCAGTGGACAGCTACGAAGGCAGTATGCAAGCAGAAATGGCAATGAACAAAACTTGTAATTTTTCTGATTATGTCCCATTCCCCTTTTTTATTGAGCCTTCTAGTAATAATTTTCATTGGTACTTTTTAATAACACTATGTGTTTATTTTTTCAAATTACAATTAAATCTTAAATATTAAACAGACTTACCAAAAATTTTGAAATATTTTTGTAATTGTGGAGTCTGCTTTTACTGGACATCAATAGCTAAAAATTAAATTGTTGATAGAATATTGTAATTGAATGTTGTAAATGATCTCTCATAGATGATCACACTGTCAGACTTGGAATGTGATTACATCAACTCAAAAACTTGCTGTGGCAGACTGAACAAGGTTTACAATATAGTTGTTCTAGTGCTCATTTGATATTGGTCAAGTGTGGAGCAATCTTTATTAAATTATTTTCAAAATGTTCTTTTTTAGGTTGTCATACCTGAAATATTGTTGTCCGCAAGTGTGGCACTGTTGCACCTCATTGATATGCAAGTTATCTTGTTTCTCTACTTCATGCTCATGCCAGCTTGGACCATTTACAAGTTTGATTTTAAATGATAGCACATTAATAGCGCATGTATCTCAAAATATTTAACATAATCATCAGTTTTTAGTCTTTAGAAAAAAATTATATTTGATTTGCAATGACTAGCAAACCACAATCACTTTACATAACACATAACTTACATGTTTAGTAATAAAGGTGAAGCTTTAAAACAGATTAAACTTATTAATACATGTTGAAAAAGTTAAGTCAATTTTTTAAGGATTAAGTTATTTCATCTTGCAGGTATGCCACAGTGCCTTCAGGTAATCTCGGAGTTTTTGATCCAATTGAGATACACAACAGACAACAATTAAGTTTATTCATCAAAGAAACCATGGTCAAAATTGGATATCATCTTGTCGCATTTTTCTTATCTTTATATTGGTTATTTGTTTTAATAAATTCGTCTTTTATGTATATATTTATATTGATGAAAATCACAGCATGTTCCGCATTAGTTAGCTCCATATTTACTTTTCGATTTTTCGGAAACTACGAATATACTACTCTAACCAAAAAATTTCATCTCTCGTGTTGAAAATACACTGCACTAGTAAGCCAGAATCGATAATGGATCATAGCCATCTAATAAAAAGAATCATAAAAAATAACGTTCAAGTATCAAACGAAAACTATTGTATCAGACTACGAATGTACACTCTAACCAAAGAACGTCATCTCTCGTGATGAAAAACAACTGCACTAGTGAGCCAAAATCGATAATGGATTATAGCCATCTAATATATTTGTTTAAATGTAATATAGGTGGGTGTGGGCACCATAATTCTGAATATATTGGTATGACGACGACCAAGCTGTAAAAAAGTCTCACATACAAACTGGAGCTATAAATAATCACATGAAAGAGAAACACAAAACTAAAATTGCTAGGCAAATCTTGAACAACAATGATAAAATCTTACATTAGAATAACAACCAATATAATTTACAATTGGCCGAATCAGTACTCATAGAACAAAGACATCGGATAATGAATATTCAACAACGTGCAATTGGAGTCCTACCCACTAATAAATTTAGAAACAGAGAAATCATCGATAATAATGACACGTAAAAGTGTCATTGCACAAAATCACAATGTATTTGCATAAAGTTATTATCGTAAAATTAAACAAAGAAATAATTCACTTTAAACAAAGGATTAACATTGAAGAGACACAGTATAATCGGAGAAATTAGAGTCAACCACTCTCACTACCCGGGTTCGAATCCTGCAGTTTCTACAGGTTTATCCGGGTAGCCGACCCCCGGCCAACCCAGCCGTCCATTCTTTCGAGGTTGGTAAATGGGTAGACGACGTAAGTTGTCGCATGTTAGCCGGCGAGATGGCTCAGTAGTTCAAATGCTCGCTGAGTCAAACCTCTCAATGGCTATCATATACCCAGCGTATATGATGCGGTGCTTGCGCATGCACATAAATACATGTGTACGTCGTATGAAAAGGATAAACAGCCTTTGTGCCGAAGATGGCTGCTTCAAATCAATGGTTTAAAATATGAAGAACGTAATAAAAGATATATATAGATAATATATCTGTAACATTGTAAGTGGTTCTGCTCTATGTCAGAGCTGCAATAATAAAGACTAAAAAAAATTGAAATATACGCTTCACCACGAACACCAACAGTTTTATTTTATTAGTTTTAATAAATTAGATAATAATTATAAAATTACTGTTAAAAATATTGAAAAGTTTCAAAAGCTAAAAATTCGGTAGATTTTATCAAATATTGCATCAATTATGGTCTCCTTCCATATATATATATTGGATTAAGACTGTCAGAAATGCAATCATTGATAACAATAACAGCGTGTTCCGCGTTAGTTAGCTTCCTGTTTAATTTTTCTAACGGTAGATCATAAATCATTGTCAAGCTTCTTGAGTTCAAATATATATATTTAAACATGATAGGACAGTAAAGCTTTTTTCAGATTTTCTAGACCATCTTCGGTGTTCGAATTGATATGTCGTGTATGTTTCTATCATGCTTAAAATAAATAAAAATTTTGGTTTTGAACTCAAGAAACTTGACAATGACGATCTACCCATAGAAAAATCGAAAAATTAACATGCCGTGATTTTCGTCTGTAATTAGATTTATGTATATGTGTGTTGTTTTTTGTAGCTCTATCTATGCAAATATAGTTTAACTGTTAGCTTAGCATGTTTAGTGATGATTCAATCGCTGTAGCTGTAATAAATTTTATATAAAAATAACTAATTTTTTTAATTATTTGTTTCAGCTTTGTGTCGGTTCTTGTTAGTTGATTGCACTACGAACGTTCAGGACCCTTTGTTGCTACTTATCGTTATTCCAATTTTAAATCAATCAAAATCTCTGTGTTCTTGTATTTTAATGAGTTTTTTAATTTAAAAAAATCGACAAAACTTGTTAATAGGCTTGTTAATTAATTAATTTTAAGCATATCACACATAGTTAATTAATTAACTAATTAATTTAACAAGATTGTTATCATGAATATGATTGCATACAACAATGCAACAGAGCACAAACGTAAGTCATTTTTTTGGGACGAGTTGCATAAATCCTCGCCATAACAGTTACAAACCAAACCATGCCTAACAGCTGAGAAGATTTGAGAACATCCCATCTCGGATATGAAAAGTGAACATTTCTTCATCTCAAATATTTCACCAACTGTTAACATTGGATGTCATCTTGGTTAGCTAGTAAAAAATTTGAATGCACGCAAAATATCGCAAAAGCGAAATTTGTCAATGAGTAAATCGTACTTTAGCTGTGTAGTCGCGGTAGTTGATATTATATTTAAAACAGATAAGTAAAAAAAACTTGCTCGGCCTTCGCATCATAAATAGTCATTCTAGTTTTACAATATCTGCAAATTAAATTAACTAGTGGGTGCGCTCATTAATTGGCTACCAGACGACAACGTGGTTCGATATCACGATAAGTTATTAATGCATTATTTATGGGATGTAGATGAATTAAGACGATTGTGGAATTGTGATTCGTTGTGGGCCGATAACAAGTCGCCTTGATAAGTATGTTTATTAGGTGAAAAATTCAAATCGATTTAAAAAGGTTGGAAACTTACATTCGATGGATTTATGGCACATGGTCACCCCCGGTTTGCACAAACTTTTCTTCGTGATAGAGTAGTCAAAAGGATTGGAACAGTTGTTCGTCGAGCTTGTGCCACATTCGTAACAACGTATCGATTCGTTTACATGAGAAAACAATAACATTATACTAAAAATATAAACTGCCGTTTCTAACATCATTTGCTATTGAGCGCCGACTCGATATTTAAGCAAGCCTTAAAGATTAAATGATTACTTCTTTCTTTTTAATGGTATAACGATAAGTAGGAAAATATTCATACGCTGTATATGGCGATTTCTTATAAATATATACGTGGGATTGCGTCATACGTGTATTGTTATTACGTACAAAATTTAAGCCGTTTCGTTGATTGATCTTTGGTCTTTCGAAATAACAGTTTACTGAATAGCTATAGGCCTGGACCAAGGGTGGGCTAAGCCCCATGCGGCCCGCCAAGCCATTTTATGCCACCGCGAGTCGTACGCGTTTTGAAAAAAAAATGAAATGACTAAATAAATAGGACGCCAGGCAGATATTATGACCAAAAAAACAGTCGTCAGCCACAAATTAATATCTTGACAAATTTCTTCCCACCAATCAACGGTTGAAATATACATATGCAACCCTCCAAAGGTAAAATAGTTTCCAATGCGACCCTCCAAAGGTAAAATAGATTTTAATGCTTGAAAATTTTCCCGTTTCATTGCAAAATCCAATAATTCAATTTGAAGCTGTCTTTTGTTACAGTGACATAAAATTTTTGGAAAAAACCATTCAAGTGTTGCAGTGCGTCACCAGGAGTTTTTATTCGAAATTTTAGCGAAATTTCTTGAATCTAAAAAAATAAATCAGCGTAAAGATGCTCAGAGAATTCCTGTTTTAAACAATTAATCCCTTGATCCTTTACTACTTTGTGAACAATGGCACGAAATTCATTTTTCACATTTTCATGCGGTTGGTTCGCAATTCTTTTTTCCTTCAAAACAGACTGCAGTTCAATGTCGAGATTTTTTATCTGGTTCAATGTTTGCAAATTTTGAAAAATTTGTAGCTGCCTAAAAAATTGAATCCAAATTTTGCATTCAAATTAATATGTTTTAGGCAGGGCATCGAACCGTAATTTGTTCGTTTCGGTTTACGGTTTCGGTTCAATCAGCAAAACTAATTTCGGTTCGGTTCCGGTTTTTGATCATAAAATAATGTCGGTTTTTTGGGTTTTCGGTTTCGCTCCGAAACTAAATTTTTTCAAGCATAGTTCCTTAAACGCATTTAACGGACATACAGACACCCAACTATTGTCTGATTGAAGTCCTGACGACTATAAAACTAACAATCTTCAATAATAAATTAAAACACCACGATCTAACAATGTGATTTGTGCGGGCTATATAAGAAACTGCGATAACTATTCTGATAGGTATTCGGGCTGCTGATGAGTCCCTGGTAGCGACGAAACACGTGTCCAGCCTATCCAAACGAATACTATTCTTTTCTTCTCCAGCTTAATGCTCTTCTTGGTTCGGTGTTCTCTCAAACATAAGCGCAACCGCTACAAATTGTTGACTCCGACGTGATCGATGAGAAAAGCAACGAGAGTTCCCACCCCAACGCGAATCTTTCTTCGATACAACAACACAGGATTAATCCCGGCAATTCAATCTCATCCATCACATTCGCCAACACAAACGCGACGATCTGGTGCGGGAGTATTGTCGGATTGAAATCCTAACGACTAAATAACTAACAATCTTCAATAATAAATTAAAACACCACGAGCTAACAAGGTGATTTGTGCGGGCTATCTAAGAAACTGCGATGCCTATTCTGATAGGTATTCGGTCTGCTGATAAGTCCCCGGTAGGGACAAAACACGTGTCCAGCCTATCCAAACGAATACTATTATTTTCTTCTCCCGCTTACTGCTCTTCTTGGTTCGGTGTTCTCTCAAACATAAACGCAACCGCTACACTATCACAACAATGTCAATTTGAATTAAATTTTAGATTGTTAATAATAAGAAATCATTAACAAAAATGATTTTTAAATGTTGTCAGATGCTTCCAGGCTCACTTGTTTAGCTGGTACTTCAAAATTTTGAAGATGATCGCACTTGATCTCTAATTTCTCCGATTATACCTACTGGATTTCTCCTCACGTGGCAATTCTTACTCAAATTATCAGCGAACTCAGTAGGAAAAATAAACAAAAACATAGATAACAAATTTTCAAAGATAATAAAAATTAACATAAAATTTCCTTGAAATTTTTAGAATCGAACCGTTATTCATTTCGTTACGGTTTTCGGTTTCGGTTAAACTAGCAAACAATATTTCAGTTCGGTTACGGTTTTTGTTCCGAGCAAAATTTCGGTTTTTAACGGTTTTTGGTTACGGTTCAGTTCCGGTTCGATGCCCTGGTTTTAGGTTATAAC